GGTCCCCGCGGCTCCCGCTGTGGGCGTGCAACGTGGGATTTGATTGCCCGGGGTTTCAGCTGGACACCATCCCGGTACCTGTAAAACCCAAGACGGATACCAGCTGCGAGGCCGAGGTAGATCGATGATAAGTGTGGGGGGTCTTCAGTTCTTATAATGAAATAAGCATCAGATGGAAAGTTTCTGTTATTTAGGTTTCAGGGTCATTTTAGGCTTCTCAAGCAAGATAAAATAAGCTATAGTTCTTGTAGGCAGCGGATGCTACCAATGAAGCTTCAATGCCTAGGAGTTGTTGGAAATTTAAGAGTGTTGTAGGTGCCGAGGAGAAGCTAAGGTTGCGATCAACAAACACTTCTGAGTGGGAATTTCTGGAAATGGTTTAAAGAAATTCGAAAAGAAAAGGATCTCAGTCTCCAAAGTCCCAGACAAGTTATTGTGATTTTTGTCCTTTGAATATCCATTGTTTGTACTTCATGGGTATATAAAGGGGCCCAAAATTATAAAAACGTCAAGTGCCACAAAATTTGGATCTGCCCCTGCCTATGAGTCAATATTTTTATGAAACTTTCTGATGAATGTTTTGCTTTTTAAAAACTGATTGTATTTTCTTATATTATAAAATATCTAAATGACCCTGACGTGTCCACAATTACCTTTCTAAACAATTACTGTAGCTCTAAATCCAGTTGTGTCACCTGGTGCCTGTGAAAGTGGATGGACCTCAGGGGCAGCAGAAAGCAATCATCATTTCAGAATTACTTTCCCATTTCCCGGGTCCACCTGTTTGATATGCAGGTTCCATAACTGCTTCTCTGTATAACCAGTATGGGAACAAAAGGGAAGAGAGTAGATTGCCTTGAAATCCAACCAAAGGAGAGAAAGAATGTGAAAGAAAAAGTAAAGGGAAGTGTGGGTAAATCTCCACATACACAAAGGAACACACTCTCAATTTAGTCGCTGGCTGTCCTTCCTCCTCTGAGCTCTCAACAATGAGATTTCTGTTTGCTTTGAATTAGCCTCTTGTGGCATACCTCTTTACTTTTACATCATACACTTTGGTCCATCTGTTAGTCACAAATGCGGAACAATCTTATTCAGGGAAGGAGAGTTTCATCTTACTTTTGCCAAGGAAATTACCCAGCTTTGATGGTAATTCTTCCACAATCAATCCCCTTCTTTTGTACCCCTTCCTCACAAGTATCATTTTATTCATCACAGAATTATAGACTTCCGGTGTTTTTATAAGTTAAGCGTACTGTTACTCTAAACAAAAAACAACGGACTTCACCCACACCTGTCTATTTAGTGGTTACCTTCAGGACATTAGTGTTAGAGTCATTTTAATTGCATTGCAGTTCTGAATGCATCTTTACAGTAGAGCCATGCCTCTCCCTACAAATAACAGAAAATAGAACTGCACCTGTTTAATTGGCTATCTGACTGCTGGCTGCAGGCAAAATAGATATTTCATTTCCATCACTGGATGTCACTCAAAGTAGTGTTTGTAATGGAGTATTTTTTCGACCTGCTCTATTTGAAAACACTGTTCTAAGAGTAGGGATTTTTTATTTTTTGCTTTTTTAAAGAAATGGGGATTTTCAACCTGCTCTATTTGAAAACACTGTTCTAAGAATAGGGATTTTTTATTTTTTGCTTTTTTAAAGAAATGGGAAAATGCATGGAATATGTATGCTCTGCCATATAATCTTTACAATCTATAATAATAAAAGCATAATATGCTAATTAGACCAGATGACCTTCCAGACAAAACCGGGGCTGCGAGGGAAGCCTGGGTCCCGGGTGCCAGCAGCCAGGGGAAGGAAGGCCTACTCTTGCATGAATTTCGTGCATTGGGCCTCTAGTGTTTAATCAAGAGCATTATTTCCCTCATTTAATAGCAGATAAATGTTACATTTTCATATAGTATCTAAGGTGGAGTTACACAAATCCTTTTTTACTCCAATGCCTTTTCATTATACTAGACTATAACTGTTAGGATATTCACATTGTTTGTCTCTCTTCCTGCCTTCTCCCCTACTAATGAAAATGTCACCAATAAGCTAATCTATGCTATTTAAATTAAGCAATTTCCTCACATTGATCATTATAGCTACCACTTATGAAATATCATTAACAGACTAAGCACTATACATGGGACTTCATAAAGATTAACCCATTTAAATTGCACATTCCCTCTATAGTACCAAGAGAAATTAAATTATTCACTCAGATCACATATCCAGTTAGACTCCAATATCTTTGGTTTTAATTTCTATACTTAAGAAAAATAAAAAAGATTGTACTCTTCATGCATGCTCAACTCTGATGCAGCGCTGTTGTAACCAGCAACTCAGAAAATGGAAGCTATACTTATAAAAAATGTAATTTTGTTTGATTTGTTATTCTAAAGTCGTCATTATAATTACAAACTATGCTATGAGGTTGGCATACTGTAGAAAAAAAATATTTTCAATCTTGCAAGGCAGGAATATGTTAACTTTAGTCACCGTACACAAGATAGATCTTGTTTTGTAATCTAATTCTACCATAGCTAGATGTGTAAATTCAACAATTTACCAAAACTTTATAAGCTTACATTTTATTAATTGTAAATGGAGGTAATAATCATCTCATGATTAAAAGGAATTATACAGGTAACATACATAGCCTAATACTGGATAAAATATGTGCTCAATTTATATTCATACTGATTATGATTGTCATTACAATAGGGAACTGAATGTCCTAACCAAAAGGAACAACTATTTGAATACAGACTGCTTTTCTAATATTAGCAGGTAGGAGATAGGATGATCAGTCTTCACTATTTACATAAGACTAGGCCCGGGAGTTTCCTGAGATGCTAGACATTCAGTGTTAAAACTTGAAAAGTTCTAGGCAAACTGGATGAATTTGGTCACCAAGTTCAGGGTTTCTCAACCAAGGCACTATATTGACTTTCTGAGCTAGGTGATTTTTTTTTTCGGGAGGAGGGGACTGCCCTGTGAATGGTAGAATGTTTGTTAAGCAGCATCCCTGGCCTCTACTCACTGAATGCCAGTAGTACCCTACCCCAACATTTTCATATTGTCAAATGTCCCCTGGGAGCAAAATTGAGCCAAGTTGAGACTCCTTGACTTAATAGAGGGAGAGAATTGGGAAATAGGAAATGCACACAAATAAGTTTGGCAGATCTCATAGATGCTGCTCCATTCTTAATTACAACTAACTGGTCAATTGTTTAGTAAAAAAAAATCTTTATATATTGTAGCAGGAGTGGGAAAATATTCATCATTGTAATTAAAATGATACAAGCTGTGGTCATTGTGTTAATAATTTTTAAAGCACTTTTGTTTCCAGATATACAGGAAAGAATAAAATTCTTATGCCCAAGCACTTATTACACTCTGTTCTAATTTTTATTTGCTTATCTGGATTCAACACCAGATTGCAAGGATCATGTGAGGAGGACCTATAACTAGCCTTTGAGTCAGTATCCCTAGCACCAGATGCCGTGTCCCCATTGAACAAAAATAAATTAAATATTCATTGGATAATTAAGTACTAATATTGAAATTTATATAACCAAGGAGAATTAAACAATTTACCAATCTTATCATCTCTGTCTTTTAATTAGGATATCTATACCATTTATATTTAATATAATAATATGTTTACATTCAAGTTTATTATCTATTTTTCCTATTTGTTCTATTTATTCATTTTTTTCCTTTTTCTGCCTCCTTCTGGATTAACTGAATGTGTTTTATCATTCTATTTAATCTTCTTTGTTAATTAGAACTCTTTCTTTTGTTATTTAGATGGTTACCCTGGAATTTATAGTATAATTCTTTAACTTATCTCTC